CCAGGCGGGTCTCAAACCCGCGGGCTCAGGCACTCCACTCACCTCAGCCTCCCAAAGGCGCGGGATTACAGGCTGAGCCACCGAGCCCGGCTATTTATTTATTTTTGAGTTGGGGTCTCACTGTCACCCAGGCTAGAGTGCAGTGGCATACTCACAGACCTGCTAGGTTCAGGAGTTCCTTCCACCTCAGACTTCCAAGTAGCTGGAACCATAGGCACACACCACCATGCTCAGTTAATTTTTTTATTGTAGAGACAAGGTCTTAACAAGTTGCCCAGGCTGGTCTCAAACCCCTGTACTCAGACAATCCTCTCGTCTCTGCCTCCCAAAGTGCTGGGATTACAGGCGTGAGTCACTGAGCCTGGCTTAAAAAAATAAACATTTAGCCAAAAGCGGTGATTCATACCTGTAATCCCAGCACGTTGGGAGGCAGAGGCGTTGAGCTCAGAGGTTTGAGACCTGCCTGGGCAACTTGGCAAGACCTTGTCTCTACAATAAACCATAAAATCAGCAGGCTTGGTGGCACATGCCTGTGGTTCCAGCTACTTGGAAGGCAGAGGTGGAAGGATCGCCTGAGCCCAGCAAGTCATGGCTGCAGTAGCCCTGAGCATGCCATTGCACTCCAGCCTGGGTGACAGAGTGAGACCCTGACTCTAATTAATTGATTAACTAAAAACTTTAATTTCAAGAGAACATCCCGAGCTGGGCTCGGTGGCTCAGCCTGTAATCCCGCACTTTGGGAGGCTGAGGTGAGTAGACTGCCTGAGCCCATGGGTTTGAGACCCGCCTGGGCAACTTGGCAAGACCTCATCTCTACAGTAAATTAAAAAAATTAGCCAGGCGTGGTAGTACGCTCCTGTAGTTCCAGCCACTTGGAAGGCTGAGGTGAAAGGATTGCCAGAGCCCAGCAGGTCAAGGCTGCGGTGGCCAGGAGCAGCCACTGCACTCCAGTCTGGGCGACAGAGTGAGACTCCAACTCAAAAAAAGAGAGAGAGAACATCCCTAGAGAAAATAAAAGCATGTCAGAAAGGTACACCCACAAAAACCAACCATTCAAACTAAAGGTATTAAATGACACAAGTCTTAAAAGAAACTATGGGGGGGAGATGGGATTAACAGTAGCAAATATCTGCCTGGGGATGGGAAAACACCTCTTATCAACAGGGTGCCTGAATGAAACATAATTGTACCCCTAACCCTTAACTGTATCCCACAAAACCATAATAAAAAAATATTGATAAAAAAAAAAAAAACCACTATAAATGAGATCTAGAAACATTAGGGGCAGAGATAGGCAAGAAAGAAGGAAGGAGAGGAAGAGGAGGGAGGGGAGGGAGGACAGGAAGAACACATACAGAGCTAGGTGCTAAAGATTATGCCTGAAATCCCAAAATCCCAGCTACTAAGGAGGCTGGACAGGAGGATCACATGAGGCCAAGAGTTTGGAACCAGCCAGGGCGACATAAGGAGACTCCAATCTCTAAAAAACAAAAAAAAAATTTTTTTGAGTCAAAGTCTCACTCTGTCACCCAGGCTGGAGTGCAGTGGCATGCTCATGGCCACTGCAGCCCCAACCTGCTGGGCTCAGGCAATCCTTCTGCCTCCGCCTTTGAAGTAGCTGGAACTACAGACATGCACCAACACACCCATTAATTTTTTTACTTATTGTAGAGATGAGGTCTCGCCATTTTGCCCAGGCCGGTCCCAATCCTCTTGCCTTCAATTTCAGGCATGAGCCATCATACTCAGCCTAAAAAAATGTTTTCAAGTCTTGATTTAGCTAAGCAATTTGCAATTCACAGTAAAGTACAGACCTAGGCACTGAGTATCACAAAAGGAGAGACACTAAATACAACTGCATACCTTGTAATAAATGGACACAGCGTCATCTCAAGTATTCTAAAGGGAGCAAACCTGGATCTGAGCAAACCTCCATGAACAGCTATCTACTTGCAATAAATACAGAAGACAGAGGAATATGCTGAACTGCATTGTGAGTGAACAATCAAGCAAAATCCAGACTGTAAGTTCCACTACAACTGGTTCAGGTTCTTCAACAAATAAATTGCAGAAGGAAACTATAGATTGATAGAGACTGATAAATCAAATATTTTGAAAAAAGTAAAACTAAGATATAGTATCTAGAGACCTATACTTGGGTGATAAAACTGAAGGAATTAAAGTGATTACTAAAGTTAAGGGTGGTGATTACTTTGAGAGAAAGGAAGAGTACATAGTGAGCCTTTTGAGTAGTTGGTAAATTTTGACTTCTTGACCTGGATGGTGGTTACAAGGTAGCTCCTCTTATAATAATTCACTGAGTTATAAACATGTTTTATGTGGCTTTCTATATTTTATTTTGTAATAGAAAGGTTTAGGTAGTTTTCATTTTTGAGAAACTTGCCCATGGCAGGTTTTTCTGCCATAAATCTTCCTTTTTCCTTCTCTTCTCCTTGCTAATAAACTGTTTTTGCTGGGTATGGTGGTTCATGCCTGTAATCCTAGCACTTTGGGAACTGAGGTGAAGGATAGCCTGAGCCCAGGCGTTCAAGACCAGCCCAGGCAACTTAGCGGGTGTGGTGGCATGTGCCTATAGTTCCAGCTACTCGGAAGGCTGAGACGGAAGGACTGCCTGAGCCCAGCAGATCAAGGATGTGGTGGCCATGAACGTGCCACTGCACCCCAGCCTGGGCGACAGAGTGAGAGACTCCAACTCAAAAATAAAAAAATAAAAAATAAACTCTGTCTTAAAACTTTTTTTTTTAAAAGAAAGATTTGAAAAAAAAAGACTTGAAGGAACTATGGTAAAATGTCTACAATCATTAGTTCTGGGTATCTATATAAAAGAATTTCTTATTACTCTCTGAATTTTTATTTTTTAGATATCTCAAAGACAACTTAAAAGTATTTAAGCAGTGCCACCTAATAACAGAACTAGAGGTAAAAAGATTTTTACTGTACTGTTTGAATTGATTATTATATGCATATTATTTTTATAATCATACTTTGTACCCACAATGAAAAGTTGTCCTGATATTCCAGCCTTCCTAACAAAGGGCAAAAGAACATTCTCTCCCCACCTAGAAAGACTAGTAATTTAAAGAAAGAAAAAAATGTGCAAGAAATTAAGACTAGGTTAGTTTCTCTCTTACTGTTGAAGACTCACCCAAATTATAGAGGTACTCATAGCTTGGAAGGTTGTACCCAACGATGTAATGGGTCTTCCACCCACCAAAGAGAGGAAAGCGAGGCCGGATCTCCATCTCCACAGAGTCATCCAAAATAAGAAGGTGGCTGGTAGAAACATTGCCAATCTCATCCCGATAGTATACATCCTGGGCAGCAGCAGGAAGGATGGTCTGCAAGAGAGTGGGTATGCTCTTCTAAAAACTCCAGGAACATAGTCACAGGAAATGATCCTAAACACAGAGAAGATTTTCTGCACTAAGAGCTTTACATAACACTACTTAATTAAAATAGTCCCCAAGCCGGTCTCGGTGGCTCAGCCTGTAATCCCATGCCTTGGGAGGCTGAGGTGAGTGGATTGCCTGAGCCCGCGGGTTCGAGACCCACCTGGGCCACTTGGCGAGACCTCATCTCTACAATAAATCAAAAAATTAGCCGGGCGTGGTAGCGCACACCTGTAGTTCCAGCTACTTGGAAGGCTGAGGTGGAAGGATCGCCAGAGCCCAGCAGGTCGAGGCTGTGGTGGCTGGCAGCGTGCCACTGCACTCCAGTCTGGGCAACAGAGTGAGACTCCAACTCAAAAAAAAAAGAAAAAAAAGTTCCCAAACAGTTAACAACCTAAAAAATTCTAGCTTTCCCACTAAAGTTTCAACATTTCTAGAAATCACATCTACTTCTCAACCAAGATTACTAAGTAGCCAAATTCTTCTAAACAGTAAATAATTAACAGAGTTGCAAATACCTGTGTGAATACTGAAGACAACACAAAATTAAAAATAATCTTTCAAGTTACTTTGCAGAGAGGGAAATTAAAGATGGAAGATAAAATAAATTACAAAGGAGATCAAAAAAGAAAAGTCCAGAATTAATTTATAAAAAATTGTGGGGAAAAAACTGTATTGCCGGGTGCAGTGGCTCACGCCTGTAATTCCAGCACTTTGGAAGACATAGACAATAGGATGGCCTGAGTTCAGGAGTTCAAGACCAGTCTGAGCAACATGGCAAGACCTCGTCTCTACAATAAATCAAAAAGTTAGCCAGGCACAGTGGCACAAGCCTGTGGTTCCAGCTATTTGGAAGGCTGAAATGGAAGAGTCACCTAAGTCCAGCAGGTCAAGGCTGCAATGGCCGTGAGCATGCCACTACAATCTAGCCTGGGTGAAAAAAAAAATTCACTGAAGCCAAATGCAGCCTCTCACAACTCAACACTAGCTGGTACACTAATGCTGATGGGTTCCCATTACACTTAACTAGTGGAGGAAGCCTGTACTACAAGGGGCCCAACCGCCAAAAAATAATTCCATTATTTTTTATTTTTTTAGATGAGAGAATATAGTTTAGAAAGTAAATTAAAGAAAGAAAGAGGTGATTCACCTCCCCAAGGTAGAGGAGAGGGCCAAAGCTTAAGGAAACACGGCCACACAATAGCTTAGCAAGGCAATGGCCTATTCAGGTTTATGGAGGGTCTCCCCTTGTACATCAAATCACTAGGTGGTAAGGATTTTTCCACCTAATATTCTTTTTTTTTAGTCAGAGTCTCACTCTGTCACCCAGGCTGCAGTGCAGCCCCAGCTCCACCTAATATTCTTTACTGTATCTTCCTAATCTATAAGTATATTTTGATCCTGGGGGGAAGGAAGTAATACCTTTGCTCACATAGTGAGCCTTTCTGTAATAGTAAATATACATAAAAATGTTTGGCTAGGCGCAGTAGCCCACAACTATAATCCCAGCACTTTGGGAGGCTGAAGTGAGAGGACTGCCTGAGCCCACAGGTTCAAGACTAGCCTGAACAACTGAGCGAGACCTCATCTCAAAAATCAATCAAAAAATTAGCCAGGCATGGTAGCACATGCCTATAGTTCCAGATACTTGGAAGGCTGAAGCAGAAGGATCGCCTGAGCCCAGCAGGTCGAGGCTGCGGTGGCCATGAGCGTGCCACTGCACTCCAGCCTGGGCAAGAGTGAGACTCTGACGCAGAAAAAAAAAAAAAGAAAAAGAAAATGTTTCTAAGATTGCATTTATAAAACAAAAATAAATAAAACTGTTTGCAATATACTTTTTTTAATAACAGCATTACAAAAAAACAAACATCAAAATGTAAGCAATAGTGTTTGGGCAGTGGTACTATGAATATGGTTGTCCTTTTTCTATTCAAATTTTCTTTAAAAACCACAGCCTGCCGGGCTCGGTGCCTCATCCTGTAATCCCGCGCCTTTGGGAGGATGAGATGAGTGAATTGCCTGAGCCCGCGGGTTCGTGACCCGCCTGGGCAGCGAGACCTCATCTCTACAATAAATCAAAAAATCAGCCGGGCGTGGTAGCGCATGCCTGTAATTCCGGCTACTTGGAAGGCTGAGGCGGAAGGATCACCAGAGCCCAGCAGGTCGAGGCTGCAGTGGCCGGGAGCAGCCACTGCACTCCAGTCTGGGCGACAGAGTGAGACTCCAACTCAAAAACAAAACAAATCAAAACAAAAAAAACACAGCCAACTTATATAAATGAATGATTTTTTAAAAGATGCTATTAGTTGCTAACACTACCACTCAATTACTTGAACATCAGTCAATCAGTCAATCCCCAACAACTATTTAGCTAGTTTCAAAAAGCAAGATAAAGAGTAGATATGATAAAGACATAGTTTCTCACAATGTCCAAGTTGAAAACTCCATACCTTAAAAGAACGAATGGAGGATATTCCACTGTCTGGCTGTCTCTGGTAATCATAGCGCGAGAAAGGACCCTTAAGCACAGCCCCTGTGTGCTTCAAGTCCACATTTTCTTCCACAGCAATATTACCCCAGTGAGAGACCTCAATGACTCGGGTCATGCTGGTGATGGTCAGGAAAGGGCTATTGTTCTCATAATGTACTTTAAAGGTATCCTGGAGAGGAAAAAAACAAGTAGTTCAAAATTTTAGCAACAGAGGTTGCAACACAAGTTTAAATCAAAATGACTGAAGACAGCCTACCCATCAGCAACAGAATGGTTAAATTATGATGTATGGCCAGGCTCGGTGGCACAGTCTGTAATCCTAGCACTTTGGGAGACTGAGGTGAGTGGATTGCCTGAGCCCATGGGTTTGAGACCAGCCCAGGCAACGTGGCGAGATCTCGTCTCAACTATAAATCAAAAAAATTAGCTGGGCATGGTAGCGCACACCTGTAGTTCCAACTACTTGGAAGGCTGAGGTGGATGGATCGCCAGAGCCCAGCAGGTCAATGTTGGGGTTACCTTGAGTGTACCACTGCACTCCAGCCTAGGCAATGGAGACTCTGACTCAAAACAAAAACAAAACAGCCGGGCTCAGTGGCTCAGCCTGTAATCCCGTGCTTTGGGAGGCTGAGGTGAGTGGACTGCCTGAGCCCGCAGGTTCGTGACCCACCTGGGCAACTTGGCGAGACCTCATCTCTACAATAAAATCAAAAAATTAACCGGGTAAGGTAGCACGTGCCTGTAGTTCCAGCTACTTGGAAGGTTGAGGCAGAAGGATCGCCAGAGCCCAGCAGGTCGAGGTTGCAGTGGGCGGGAGCGGCCACTGCACTCCAGTCTGGGTGACAGAGTGAGACTCCAACTCAAAAA